AAACACACACAAAATCGAGCGTAAATCTTCCCGAGTTCAAAGAAATCGTGAATAAAAATGCGGAAGTGTAAAAACGAGCATGATTTTGTTTGGACCTGAATGACCAAGAACAGGAATTTTCGTCTGAGCCTTAATCTGCGAAACGAGTCGATTGCTTCCTCTCGGGATCACAAGATCAATCACATCGTCAAGCTGGTGCAAAATATAACGTCATGACAAAAAAAACAAAACAAAACAGACGAACGAATGAACAAAAAATGAAAGAAAAAAGAAAAGAAAATTATGATAAAAAAAATCGAGTAAATGTAAGTAACTCCACGACCTTGAGCAAATCCGGAATGTCCTCTTTCGACGTAACTAATCCGATTAGTTTTTCACCAACTGTATCAGGAATGGCATTCGTTATCACCTAAAAGAAAAGAGAACATAATATACATTCAAATTAGAGAAAGCAAACACTTGCAAAAAAATTCGAACAATATATAGAAAATCACCTTGTGAAGGATTGCATTTGTACGCCGAGCCTCTTTGCCTCCTTTAAGCAGCAGCCCATTCCCACTTCGTATGGCTAAGGAAGCAATCTGTCGAGCAAATAAAAAAAGAAAACGGTTTACTACTAAATAACGAAATTAAACGCGAAATAGTGTTTAATTAAATAAGTAGATGAAAATAGAATAATCGACAAGTTTTTAGAACATTTTATGAACAAAAATATGTAACACGATGCAATTCCCCGATTACCTGAACTAGAGCATCGGGACGCGACTCGAAGATAATCAGTAAAACACCCAATGGACATGTTGTCTTCTCTAAAATAAGTCCTTCTGCAAGCTGAATCAAAAAGTAATCGAGTCAAAGACGGAAAAAATATACGAATTGAGGAGAAACAGGGTTTTATTTCAAATTCGGTTAAATCGGACGATATTCTGCGTAAGGTTTTTTGTTTTTTTTATTCTTCTGATCCCATGAAGAAAATGTAAGTTTCAATTTACCTCAGTTTTCTTCACTATCTGACCAATCGGTTCTTCCATGTCAGCAATGATGCGAATATTCCTTGCAAGAGTTGCTACCTGAGGAAAATGCAACAATATGTTAACGAAAAAAAAAACTACAATACGCCCCTGTTAGAAAAAAGAACGAAAAAACAAAAAAGTTTGATCTTTTTAAAGTCGAAAACTTGCCTTTGCACGACTCAACACCAATCGAGAAATTAATGACTCGTCATAACCGGCTGCACGGGCTGCCGCCACATCAGCTTCATTCTCGATTTCAATAAGAGATGCTTTTGCCTCTAACTCGTCCGAAACGTCCAACAAAATTTGTTTCCTCTCATCAGAAGAAATGCTCTGTACATTATCGAAACACTGTTATTACTACCAAAGGCTAAAAAAACACAATAATTTCTAACTTTTCGGAGTTAATTGTTGTATTTTTAGCAGAAATGTTTGTACCTCGATGAAATGTAAATTTGCGGAAAAAAAAAAGAAAAAAATTAGCTAAGTTCAAGAAAGAATATGATAATTTTTCGAAAAACCTGTAAGGCCAAAGAACACTCTTTTGCCGCAAGCGCCATTTCACGAGCACCAATCTCATCCAATGAGGCCCATGTGTGCGCGTCTTGGTGAAACAAAGTGCCGATACGCTGCCCTTCCAACACCCTTGCTATGTTGTTTGGCACAAAACCGCTACCCACAAGGAAAAAATAAAACGAAAATATTTGAGTAATATTGAGTGTATTTGAAAGAGTGAGTGTATCAGTAAAATAGTTAAGGTGTTTTGGTCTTGTAATAAGTGAAGTGAAGTGTTCTATCTTGGTCTATATTACTTTGTTAATGTAATAAAGTAATAACGTTAGTTTCCACATGTTGTTGTAGTGTACAAAACCCACCCAACATTTTATTACCTGGCTATAATGACAGGGGTGCCGGAATCAGCTGCATTGACGGCCGCTTTAACTTTAGCGGTCATCCCTCCTCGGCCGACCCTCGATTTATCCCCGAACGTTATTACCCCTTGATGCTTTTGCTTCACATAAGTATGTATAAGCCTCGAGTTTGGGTCGCTCGGGGGCCCACTGTACAGGCCCTCGACATCACTCAATAAGACGAGAAGGTCAGCTTTCAGCTCGAGCGCCAGCAGGGCCGCCAGGCTGTCATTATCCCAGAATATTCCTGTCGAGTCCTGTGTACACATTAAGACAAATTCTTTTCATGGTTATATTTAGATTGGCGCTCGTGAAATGGCGATAATTTTGTCGATACAACATATTGCATTTTTTGTCGATGGTTTTTAGGAATGTAATATAATGTACCTCATATGGAGCTCGTCGGGTGCTGATGGCATCGTTTTCGTTGAAAATCGGTATGCTTCTTAGAGATAACAGCGAATTTACGGTTTGAGAAAGCTGTATTCGGAAATCGCGATTTTTGAAATCGTTTTCTGTGACTAGAAGCTGGGATGAAGTTATATCCAACTGTATAAAGAAAAAATACAAAAAAAGGTACAAAAATGGGAGTGTAAATCACTTCAAAAGGCGTTGATCGTGAACATAACGATCGCGACTAAATAAGATACCGAACATTACTATTCGCAACGACTTTAAGCTTTTGTCGACATATATCACATTCTCTGGAAAAAACATAAAGTTCAGTCAGTCTCTTTTTCGTTTTCTAGGAAAAAATGGGAGATTTAGTACTGATTGCGTCGAACACCTTGTAACTGCAAAAAAACCTGACTTTTAGTGTTTTGACCAGCAAAAACCAGTCAATTTGACATGCTGAGTTGGATATATTAGTCGGTTGCCACGTGTACAAAAAAAAAATGAAAAACAATATCCACATAGATTTTTTTTGCAGGGTGTATTGTAAAGTCAACGCAATCACCGGACTATTTCTTAATTAGGTGTTAGTTAGAAGACTAAATCTCTATTTTTTTCCTCGTTTTCTATATGTTTTTTAGCATTCAAAGAACACGAAATATACATTTTTTTTTGTTTTCGATTAAATTG